CAAAATGCCTAGGCCATATCGCTATAGGAACCACCAAAAATACCAAATACTTCCACTGATCCTGGAGGGCAAAATCGAAGGAAAGAAATGTTCCGGTAGACCGAAAGCGGCCTGTGGTTAGGTAAAATCAACACCTGGCATCACTTGGCAAAAGCACAACTTTTACCCACAATGCTAGACAGAGAAAAATATCAAAATGAAGTCACAAATGCAATTCGGCAGCATTAAAGAAGAAACAGAAGAAGATACTGGGACAAATGCGAAAGCGGTCGTGTATATGGAAACCCACGGCATGTACATTTCTCCGTCTTATTCGTAATTTGTAAAGTAAAAATCTATGAATAGAGAAGCACAAATTATACATTAAAGGGTTTAGACGTTCTAGTTAAGAAAAGTGGGAGAAACACGAAGAGAATAGAGATACATTTTACTCCAGCGTCCTTAATCTGTCTTAGCGTATGCGAAATTTCTAGTATAACGTGAGGATTAGCATCTCTTAGATATATTTTGAATTGAATTACAGATGTGGAGAAAATACTTGGGCAGGCAATGCAGAAAGTAGGTATTAGGTACTACAACGCAAAGCTTTAAACAATCATTATTATTTAAGGAAATTGCAAAACCCTATTTCTATTCTTTCTAAAGTGTATGTTTATTATTTGAAAGGGTATTTCATGATTGCAATAAAGGTGACATAATTGACGATAGAGTGTAGTGCTTTTTCTTCAAATTGTGTGATTGATAAATATTTTATAGAAAATCTGCGGAAATATTTACACAAAGAAAAAAGATGCTGCAACACTGTATTACATTACTAGCAGAAGACAGTTCGCATCGCATATTTTTAAGAAATAATGACGAAACGTATCATTCGCTTTCAGTAGTCGATTTGAATTCTTAAATTATGTAAAACGATACACAAGAGATTTCCCAACACAGAAATACATACACAACGACATTAGCTTCATTTTTCAAGGGGAAATATGTTCTGTGTTCAAGTTTTCCTTGTAAATTTATCTTGAAAATTTCATTAAAATTGTCTGTATGTTTATCCGTTAATAATATGCGAATCTTTAATGGGTGATGCAGTTCAGTACGTAATTTGCACCACTGTGTATATAAGATAACTACTTTTACCACGAACGACCAGAGCACGCCTGAGTTTGGCACGTTGAAACATAGTGCAGAATTAATGATCTAAGGGGGTCTAATTGCATCAATCACTGTCTATCGTTTCTGGCGATTTACCCTGCCGTTGGGCATAGTTCGATAATTAGGAGCGCGCTTAGACACCTCCAAGTTGGAGGATATCTTTTGGATCTCTAATTCGGTAAGTACGGACATTTTGTTTAATCCAACTGGTTAAAGATGCATTCTTTTAGCTTTAGCGTGGAAGTTGAACCGACCATTTTCCCTACGTCGCTGCAATTTCCTTGTTTACTGAATAGCCTTCTTATTTTAAGAGGTGGCGGGTTATGCCACTTTTAAAACTATCAAACATATTTAGTAATTATAATTCGATTGTACCGAAAACAAGTATGTAATCAAATGTTATACTAAAGAAACGTTAAAAATATAAAAATATATCTTTTGAACTCTGGTTGTAATGACCTTTTGAGCTCAGAAGGGCGGTTTCTGCTTTATCTGTAACATATACATAACAACACAAACAAACAAACAAGAGGAATAGTAAATAGCGCAGCACAAAATATTACAGTAGCAATGTCTAACGTCTGACATTAGAGTAAATCGAATACTAAAACTGCAATTAATACTCAATAAGAATCAATAATTCGAATGAGTTTACACTAGCAAAAATATAATGCTGAATGACAACGAATAGTCCGTACAAATCGGTGCATAAAAGCATGAACGTGAGTTCAAGAAAACTACTTTATGATGCACAAATACCTGAATTTCTATACAACAAACGTAATCAAATTGTTTGAAAATGTAAATATGATAGTATGAACAAATTCTTCAGAGTGACAAATAACGTAAGTCGTAGATATCGGGTTTGGAATAAGATAACGGCGGGCTTTGCTGCTTCATTTCGTATTTTCTTTTGGGTACATACACACGAAAAGGTAGAAGGAGGAAGAAGGGAGAACAAGCTTAACTTAGATCGCAATGGCGTGTCAATTAGCAGCATCATGTAATGCAATACGTTTCCGTAAAAAACATACACGAATACGAATATGTAATTAATAGTAATTGCTTTCTAACAGAAACCTACTAAGCTCATTAATTTAGCCACTTTCTAACTAGAAGCCCATATAAATCTGTTTACAATTATATTTGAAAATTTATGTAAATCGGAAAGTTTCGTCCTCTTTGCTGTTTGTTCGAGTAGAAAATCTAGTCTTCGTAGATAGGGAATTCATTCTATTTTAACGGCTAAAACTGAATATTCCAATTTCTGGAGTACATACTAGTGTATTCCACAAGGAAATTTGCGAACAAAATATAAAATTACGTTACGTTAGTTTAAAAACCGATGGAATTGTATACTTGTTTTTAAATAAAAAGGAGACCTATTCGCCGGCAGTGATCAATTTGATTTCTTAAATTATGCAATACAATACGTACCCGTACGGTTTCGTAACACAGACCTATCTATATACGAAAAAAATAGCTTCATCTTCCAAGGAAAAATACTTTCTGCACTACATATTTGTTTATTTACGTCGAGATTGCATTAAAGTTTACCTTGTGGGATTTAAATTGGTTGATATTAACGTTAGCCAGGAAAGCTGAAAATATACCATGTGCTCATAAATTCGAAATTGTTCGCTTAGGTGTTCCCGATCATTTTCTGCACTAACCATTTGCAATCTAATGGATTCGATTGTTTATACGTTTTTTCAATGTATCCCCTAACAATTTTTGCGTATTTACTTATTGATTACTTTGATCCAATAAGGATTTTTAATAAGTGAGAACAATTTACAATCGACTTTACAAATGTGTTATCTTGTCATCAATCACCTATGATCACGAAGTGTAATTATTTAACTCGGAGATCTGTTTCTGTGGATTCTCTATTTGTTCGTGGCACAATAACTGGGAAAGGAAATATTTCAAGTCCTTTGCGATCGATAGATTAGGTTCTGCCCCTTGGGAGAGTAGATGAACAAAATTGGATTGATAAAACAACTTCAAAATCATTATCTATGTAAGAAAATACATTATCTAGGAACGTAACATCACTTTCATGATATTTTTTATAGTTAGAATATTGGACACATGTTACCTACCCGATTTACATTCTAAAGTAATTAGATTACATTGCTATGAATAGAAAGTTAGCTATCTGTGCATCGTAAAGTAGTTTTCTTAAATTTAAGGCCACGTTGATTATTTTGTATCTATAACTATTATATTACTAATTGTAAGGATAATCCGTACTCGGTCAAAATTTTTCGTTTCCTAGTGTGTAAAGTGAAATATTCTTTTTGAGTATTAATTACAGTTTTTTACAATGTTGGACGTTAAAGTCGCTTACGCAATGTTTTATGTGCCACGTTATTCACTACCAATTTTATTTGCTTGTTGTGTTGTTTTCAGTTACAGAAAAAGCTGAACGCACCCTTTTGAGCTCACAAGGTTGCGACCCGAAGTTCAAAGGTATTTTTTTTCGATGAATCCTTGATATAACGTTTGATTACAAATAGTTTTAAATACAATAAAATTGTAATTATTACATTTGTTTGAGATTTACTTAAGGACTATAGATCAGTTGTTTTCTGCGGAAGCTTGTTTTGATATTACTAGTTACTACCTTCTCCGAATACCTGTTGATCCCCTATTAAAGTACTCAAAATTAATTTAAATTTAAATATTGACATTGCAAATTATAGATTACAGTATCCTATTTGTAATATTTTTGAGATTATTCATTAAATCACCCTCAATTGTGACGTCAATGTCATTGTTAATGTTCTATCCCTATCAAGTATTTTATTTCTTGCCAAGACCAGAAAAAGGGTCTCTTAATCTGTCTTGTTTCCCCTTTTTGGTAAGCATTGTTTCCTCTCTTTTTAAAGTTACCGTTTAATTCTACTTTTCAATTTTTCTTCATTTTTGTACCGGAACCCCGATATTCCCCTGACCCACCTCTACTTTGCCTAAACTTGCTGTGTGATTTTCTCAAGTTTAAAGCATATTTACATGTGCATTTAAAATTGGTTATATTTAGTGGCAAAAGTGCTAAATATTGTTTCACATGTGCTTTTCTATACACATCAATGTGTAGAAGCAACATTTCCAGAAAAATTCAAATTGATCCATGGTCCTATGTGGCGTTTCATTCATTCAACCTATCATATCCAACAGACGTATCGCCCAGTTTACAAGAGCATTGGCCCATTCAAATTGAAGATTTAGGTAAAAGGCATACCCGATTGGAAGGACGCCTTCTTCGTAATAATTATGCCTTTGTGATCATTATACCTTTTTGTAACAAGTAGGCACTAGTTCAAATTGTTTATGCAATTTAAGATAAATTTTTCAGTTACGATTCGAAACTTACATGGAATTGCTTATTTTAGTTTAATTGTAGCCTATAACGTTTGCATCATAAATAGGGCAGGCGATGTGTTACTTACATTTGACAGTATTTATTGATTTAAAGGTATAATTTAGGTAACGTATCGGTTTCAATCTTGATGGTAAATTCAAAATTGGCGCTTTATCTGGACACAAAGTGCCTAATATTTTTTGTCATAAAACTACCTATATTAAGTTTTGGATGTACCACAATACTGCATTATTTATTTACCATATTATATGTACAGGGTGGTTCAAATTAGTGGCTCACCATTGGAATCAAAGATCCTCACCTAAAACGACGTGTCTTGGCAATTTTTGACCAAAATTACAAATTACAATCGAAATTCGAAATGAAAGCCCTCTACCTATTATATGTGAAGGTTGAACAGATATCGGTTTTGATTAAATCATATGTTCGCCACAAAAACGAAAATAATGTAAGTACTTACCAACTATATGTGCTCCGTTTAACAGTATAACAGCAGCCAATAAGATCATTATTAGCCGCAAGCACTGGTCGGTGTCGCCCCTATCATGGCGTTTCGTGAATTTCCTTTGTGCCAAGAGAAGATGTCAAAGTAGACCCATTTTGTTATATTTTATATTGAGGTATAAATCTGAAAGTAAAAAAAAAACTCGTGAAAATTGTGATCTTTTTAATAACTTCTTACTTTTAAGGGAGGAATATTAGATTACAGACTTATATAGAACGTTGGAGGAATTCAATCTCCATAATTTATACACGTTTAACGGCACTAGAAGTATGAAGGGAAACGTAGATTTTTACAAAGTATTCACACTCCGTTTAATTGCAAATGTTTAAAATTAGTTTGAGAAGCAATATCGGTTAACGTAATTACGTGTTTAACTGTTTGACGTAAGCAATGCAATGTCAGCGTTAGTCGGGTAATAAGGATAATGTTATGCTTATACAAGTATTCAAACCCTTAATTACAAAGCTGGTGTGAGGAGCATGTGTAGCTTCGGTATACCTACCCACAATTACATCTGTATTGGGAGACACTATAGATTATGAAGAGCATATAATTATTATTTAACATATTCATACGAAATAACAATGTAATTCATGGATGTAAACCATAACTCGACTTCCGTGTTTATTTTCGTTTCAAATATAACTAAAGACTCCTTTTAATATCAATTTACAATTGTTGCCTCTTCCGAATCCCAACATTTCTTGCAAGTATAAAGACGTTGACTAAGTGGTGTTGTTTATATACCACAATATGTAAAAAAATGGTATTGTATTGTTAACGTGCTAATTTATCATGCAAAGGACGGGAAATTATTTTTATCATGGATCTCGCTAAAACATGGGCGAGTACAATGTTGGACATGTAAATTACTAAGACAGGGATGTCGAATTAGTCCAACTTAATATTTAATTTCTTATATAAGAGATATGGAAAAAATCTTGAGACAGGGTTAAAGTGGAGGGATCGTTGTGGGAAGAAGGAAGATTTATGGGACCTGGCATACGGGGACGACACGGTAATAATGACATGATGGAAATGATGGTTGACAAACCAAGATCAACACTTATAAAAAATTTATAAAGGAAAGTGGTAGGTCCAGACATTGAATTTCAACTGAAAAAATTATTTGAGAAAATCAACTTGCGTTATTTTGAATAGTGCTCGCAAATCCGTCACTTCGGCTTCTTTTACGGATACTAGGCGAAAAATAATTCACTCCATCCTAAAACGATATCCTTCAATAACATCCTTCTCGCAAAGTGTACTTCCTAGCCATCAAGTTTCGAGATAATTAAGAGACGAGTCTACCTAACAACTTCTAACTCTTCCGAAGTAAAGCAACTTTGAACTTTTCCTTTAAGGAGCTTTACTTTTATACAAACAAAAGTATCGACTATCGTAAAGTTGTCCTCAGAGAAGACATCTATTTCTATAATTCAACTTTAACGTTTCTTGCACTCGCTAAGTTGAAACCAGTCGCGCAGAACGTCATTTCAAATTTAATATTTATGTGAAATTGTGACATAATTAAAGCAATTATTGAGAGTAGATTCCTCATGGAGATTCAATTAGCAACGTTTGTTATTTTCACTACTATTCCAGCTTGATTGTGAAGGTCAGATTGCAATAAGAAAAATGACAGAGCCTTTGTGATTTGCTTGGGTGCCTCTGGAAGCGATGATCGCGAAACGAAACAGTGGCGCGTATTTTGTAAAAAGTTCGTACCAAAATGCTAATAAGTTTTGGACACTGAAAGCAAATGAGAGAACCTAAAGATAAGGGATAATAATATTCGAACTTGTAATGCCTCGTGTACATTAGGTAGTTTTAGATAGGTTAAATTTTTTTTGTTTTTGTCAGGATGTTTGTTTGTAATTTTGGGGCGCGCGATCTTAAAATGCATATGTTAAAAGACGTCGGCATGCCAAAGACGGCAGCACCATGTGTTAAACTTTCCGGCCGATTAGAAAACGGGAATCCGATCAGGGTGTTTCCACGAAAACTAACTTTGACTCTCACCCTTATGTTGTCAGTTGTCGGTCACTACGTGACCAAGTAAAAGACAAAAAGTCCAATAAATTACAGCTCGATTGCCTAACTAAAGTTACCGACAAACATATGTTCAGTCACACTGATCAAATTAGCCACGGTCCACCTGCGTGAGAACGGTTTTTCTTTTTTTGTTGAGGGGGGTTGTTTTTAATGTTACCGGATATTTTTGAATTTGGCCAATAGTAGTGGTGTCCGTTCGCTGGATTTGAATTTCATTGGATACGTTGTGCTGAGTCAATCTTTGGGCGTGTGGGAAATGAAAGGCGTAAGTGGATAGTTTTGAAAAAATTAAAGGAGATTCGCGAAGACGGGCCAGGGAAGCGAACGCCTGGCAGGTCGCGGAATTATTCGTGGGCGAAAAGTTGCGTTTTCGGCGGCGTAGAGTTGCGAGATAAGGAGGTCGCGGAATTATTCGCGGGCGAAAAGTGGCGGTATCGTAAAGGAGTTAAATTCGAGAGTCAAGCGGCAAATAAGTAAAGGAAATTTGTCGAGTAGAGCGGCCGGGCAGTGTTAATTGTGGTTGTCCGTTTAAAATCAAAGTTTAAAAAGATCTCTAAAGATCGACCAGTAATCAATAGCGATACTTATTAAAAAGGGTGAATGTCGTATTGATATCGACGTTTGGAATAGTAGTGCCAGAAGGGGATTTACCTGCAGTCGAGTTCTCTTGGAGATACCGGCATCTTCACCGATTAATAGAGGAAGACCGCTAACGAAAAATAGAACCAGGTACTGTGAACTTGCTCTGTTTTGGTGTGATCAATCTTTCGGGGTTGAACAGTTATAGACATCGTTTTTTTAATATTTTAATCATAGCTTGTAGTTAACTCTAATTGTATATCTGATTCTGTACTAGGAGGTTCTTGTAGTAGGTAATTACTTAGGAGTAATTGATAAGAGAGATCACAGAGAGAGTGGCCACTGATACCCCTTTGATCAAACTCAGGAGCGTAGAGTTAGGTTAGTTTGTTGTTTTAGGTTTTTTCTGTAGCGTAAGGGATTATAAGGAAGTGTGGAAGTGGAAGAATTTAATGTAATATTCTGTTCTAATTGTCAATATACACCCGGTAGTTACCCGAATTTTACCTTTTTTTTGTTTTGCTTCTCGATGTATCAAACTGCTCGCCAGGTATGTAAAGGCTGAGGTGGACGGTAACAAAACGAGATTCACCCCGTTACGTCATAATACGGTAGGTGGAAGACGATTGAGGTGGTAGATATTTTAAGCGGACGAAACCCTTAGAACGTTTAGAAGTGTAGTGAAAGTAACGAGAACGTTACAAACTTGAAAAACCCGAATGAGTGGAAAACGCCTCTAAGTGTTTAGTTATCATTCGTCACAAAAGTCACAGTAACCGTCAAACATGAACGACATGATCGTTGTGCATTTGAAAAACTGAGTCAAATAGTCTCCTGCAATTCTCCAAATCTGTGTCGACATGCGTATTGATTTATGAAGGACCGAAAATCTTTGGGATGCTTAAGGACTCTAGCAACCTGTATTAGAGGCTCTAAACGCCACTAGGCGGTCGGAGAGATCAAAACAGACCCTTGGAAAGAAAACAGTTGATGACACTAAATTCTCTTAAATACCATTAGACTATTTTAAGCCCTTAAGGCGTAATAAAAGCTATTTTAAGTGCTCTTATAGATCCTTAAGCCAGTCTCACTGGTCGCTTTAAGGGTAATATAGACTTTACCAGCTCTACTTCCCGGCTGTTTCGACGCTGCATATATTTCCGGCGTGTGGCTCGCCGTAGTGTTTAATTGGACGATCCGCGCGGACCAATAGCAGGCTCGTCCGTAAGAAGTGCTGAATTCTGTAAGCGGTCCGTGTGACCCTGGTACCCAGTTGGAGTCCAGGCCAGAGTGTTTAGTTTATCAATTGTTGACAATTATGAACATTTCATAACGCCATTTAGCTTTTTTGTGTCACTTAACTTGTATCACTTAACACATACAAAATGTGATCTTAGCAATTTGATAGGATATCACCTTTTGGCTCATTTGTTTCAGCCGTTTTACAATAGGATAGTTTTTCTCGAATTTAGAAGACCGTGCACTGGTGCTGTGATTGCGGCAGCCCCTGCTAGTTGCGAGGTTGCATAGAACCGTTGGAAAACGGGTGTCTACTGTCTAGGAATGAAATACGGGAAATTTTATTGGATCATAATTGCTTTGGTTCTGTTTCGGTTTTTTATTTGAGCAACTACTTATATAAACTTAAAAGGAGGAGAGATAAGAGTTTCAGTTTTACTTCGGTCGCAATAGTTCAAATTGAATCGCACGATTTTGTGAGATCGCCGCAATCGATGGTAATTTTTGTGAATCGAGGAACAATTATAAAGCGTCTGTGAGTCTGAATTAAAGTAGGGCCTAGTGAACCTCATGTATAAAATGGTGTGAATAGTTGAAAGAAAAATACGTAAGCGGTTCTCGAGTTAATAGAATGTTTAGGTAAGCGATCCATTTGACTGAACACGATAACTGTCAAACGCTTGGACCGATTTGGTTCAAACTTTGCACAGTTGACTTATATGGCACATCTAACAAGCCAATTGCAAATGGGTCAAATCCAATGACCCTGTGGGGTCACACCCAGGTGCTCTTTAGGGATGTATTAGAATTTCGACTATATATTTTCATGTTTTATTTACTTACCAATTTTCGCAAAAGGGAACTGATCGTGCGTCGATACTAGAAAATATTTTAGAAATGCCGTTTTACAATTTGTCGAAGGAAGGTAAAGTGTTGGCGATCGGAGAAAATTCTTCATTCTGTAATAAGTTACTTTAATTTCACGTCGCACGGCATCATGCCAAACTCAACAAACCAATTCGCTTTAAATTGCAGGCTGCAGCCATATAATTTTCATTTCGTTAACATGGTCCAACGTTGGTGGTAAAATAATTATAGATACATACATTATGTGGAACGAGATATTACCTCTTTACCTATAGACTAAGTGTAAAGGCATTAAATTTTATTGCTTTTTGTTTCCTACTGCTCTAAATTTTAGTATTCATGAAATCGATTCCGACTTAAAAGCACTTTATCATATTTCGCCG